GAGGCTCACTGAGCCGTTTAGCTCTCCACCCTTCAATTAACCCCACATGTGTTTATCGGCCAGGTTGGCACAATAAACTTTAAACTATCTCAATACCCAGCGAGGGGGAGCGGAATCCAGTGAGGAGGGGCCACAACAATCCAAGGAGATTGAGCAGCGTGAGCAGTGAGACCAAGTTGCAGACTGGGCCATTGGAGCGTTGCCTCAAGGTCCCTGGTGTTCTTGCCAGGAGTCTAGCGGAGCTGATGCCTGGTAGGGAGTGGGCAAGGAGTGGAGGGGAGACAGGGGTCCAATTCAGGGAGGCTTGGTGCTGTGCATATACTTGATCATGTTCCGACGAGGAGAGGCTGGTAGAAAGGGAGAGAGAGGGAGAAAAGAAGGATCCAGGAGTCACCAGGACTGAGGGTGAGGCTTTGAGAGGTGGCAGGGGAGCAGGTAGGAATGGAAAGCCCAAGGGCATTATCTTTTTCCTCGGAGCCTCGTGGAGATTTTCCCTGGAGGGTGAAAGGTAGGCGTTTCACAGGGCAGCGAGCTCAGGGAGCTGTGTTGCCAGACCGGAGACCCAGAGCCCACTGGGGCAACACTGTCTGTGTCCCAGGCATGGCACGCCCGCAGATGGGATGCAGCCTTGGCAAAGACTGCCTGCTTATTCGTCTTGCCCTGGCTTAGTCCTGAAGGCCTGGTGCACACAGCAGGGCAGAGGAGGGGGTGGAGGAGGGTGGTGCTGGTTGACAATGTGTACAGCCGCACACATCCTGTTGGGGGCAGCGGAGGTGTCCCCCATGTCAGGAAATGGGAGGAGTGTCAGGGTGGCAAGCAGGCCCCACCGTCAGCTCCAGGGGGGCCTGCGGGGGCTCAGCCTGGGCGACCAGGAGGAGGAAGCCGCCTGCTTGGTCGTTCCTCTGAATAAGGTCTTGTCTCCCCTCCACTCCCTGTCTGGTTACTGCTGGGTCACAGAAAAGCCATGACCAGCTATTTATTTACGATAATAATTTTCCAGTCAGTTCTCCTGG